TACATGGGTGCCTGTGTGTAGGTGTGTGTGTGTGTGTGTGTACGTGTGTATGGGTGCATATGTGTAGGTGTGTCTATGTATGTGTATTGGTGTGTGTGTATACGGGTGTGTGTGTGTACATGGGTGTGTGTGTGTCGGTGTGTCTATGTGTGTGTGTGTGTGTGTGTGTGTCGGTGTGTGGGTGTGTCTATGGGTGTCTGTGTGTTCAGTCCCCTTCACACTCCAACCTTCCCCACTTTGCCACTAACAGTATTGTTGTGGTTCTTGCTGATGTAAGTGAGGGGATCAAGGGACAGCATTTGAATATAGATTTTTGAAAGTCCTAATCATCTTGAAAGGGTCATCACAGAACCACTCCAATGCAGAGCGAGGCCATTTGGCCCATCATGCCTACACTGGCTTTCTCACCTAGTCCTTCCCTATTCCTTGGTACCAATCTCCTGCCTTTTCCCCACAATGTTTCAGGCCTGGGGCCCACATGTGCTGCTTGTTAAATGGAGGTTCACAGCATTTCACCACAGGTCTTTGGCCTGCGATATACATCCTTGTCCCTTAGCTACATCTCCTCAATCCCACAAGCAGCCCCTGAGAAGAGGATGAATATAGTGAGCTCCCAGTTCAATCCTGTAGGTGGCACAGTGGTTGGCATTGCTGCCTCACAGAGCCAGGGACCCAAGTTTGACTCCAGCCTTGGTTGACTGTCTGTGTGGAGTCTGCACATTCTCCCGTGTCTGTCTGGGTTTCCTCAGGGTGCTTCTCCCACAGTCCAAAGATCTGCAGGTTAGGTAGATTGGCCATGCTAAATTACCCATAGTGTCCAGGGGTGAGCAGGGTGGGTGGATTAGTCGGGATAAATGTGGAGTTATGGGGATAAGGCCAAAGGGTTGGGTCTGGGTGGGATGGTCTTTTGTGGGTTGGTGCAGACTTAACGGGCTGAATGGCCTCTATCTATCTGAAGAGGGGTCACCGGATCTGAAACGTTAACTCTGTTTTCTCCTTCACAGATGCTGCCAAATCTGCTGAGCTTTTCCAGCAACTTTGTTTTTGTTCCTGATTTACAGCATCCGCAGTTCTTTTGGTTTCTATCTGCACTGCCTCTGTTTCTGATTTCATGCACAGTGAGAAGACTGAGATCATTCCTTCAAGGAACAGTACATGTGATTTTGCTCAACACAAGGATTAAATTTAGGAGCTATCTTATTTCAAAGCCCAGCTCTGCACGGCTACAGTCTCGAAGTGCCGTGTGATCATCTGTTTGAACACAGGTCAGACTTGCGTTGAGGTACTGCCAGAGTAAATAAATCCTGGCTACGCCCACAGTTCCGTTTTAAATTTAGCAGATTTCCACTGCTCTCTGGTGCTACTGTTACAGCTTCACCAGGCCCTGGGATTCTTTACTATAATAATTCCTAACCTCACAGGATCTATCACAATTTCTTCCAAGTATTGGAGCAGTTAGCAGTCGCCATTACACTCTCTGGTTCCTGAAGCCTCTTCTAACGTAGTAATTTGCCTGCTACATTCGAGAACATTGCATCTTCAGGACGTCCCGAACCAACTTCACAGTATTGTTTCTGAAATGTAGTTCGGGAACGCAGCAGCTAAATTGTGCACAGCAAGCTCCCATAAAGTAGCAGAGCGATAAACTGCCGGGTACAGAGTTTTGCTGATGTTGGTTGATGGCTAACTATTTATCGGTCAAGACACCAGGAATAACTTTCCTGCATTTCTTTTAATTGGTGCTAATAGATCCTTCACCTCTAGTTCAGGGCAGATGGGATGTGGAGGTGCCAGTGTTGGACTGGGGTGGACGAGGTCAGAAGTCACACAACACCAGGTTATAGTCCAACTTGATTCGGTGATTTCAAATAAACCTGTTGGACTATAACAGGACAGATAGGAGCTAGGTCTAGTATACCACCTGCACGTTTGCACCTCAGACCTTTACTGTCAGTCTCTGAAATGTGCAGCTACGACTGCAGTGGGACTTGAACCCACAAACATCAGTGTTACCATCACAGCCACAGTCGACACACATTGTTAATGCCCATTTTATATCTTGTAGATTATATTATCTTTTAACAATATTTCATGCTTGGGCACCAGTGCATCCGGCCTTGTGCCCAGAGAGAAAAACAGAAATTGCTGGAAAAACTCAGCAGGTCTGGCAGCATCTGTGGAGAGTAAGCTGGGTTTATGTTCTTCTTCTTTTTCTGATCCTTCTTCAGAACTCCACAGATTGCTGCCAGATTGGAAAAGGGGGAGGTGCGGCAAGACCTGGGTGTCCTTGTAAAACCGTTGCTGAAAGTAAGTATTGCAGGTGCAGCAGGTGGTAAAGAAGATAAATCATACTTTGGCCTTAATTGCAAAAGGATTCGAGTAGCGGAGGACAGATATCTTCTTACAATTGTACAGGGTCTTGGTGAGATTACACCTAGAGAACTGTGAGCAGTTCTGGATACAGACAGAGCAGCAAAGGTTTACCAGACTGATTCCTGGGATGACAGGATTCGTGTATGAAGAGAGAGTGGATCGGTTAGGATTATATTTGCTGGTGTTGTCTGAGGCTGAAGGGTGACCTTATAGAGGTTTACAGGGTGGGGGTCTCCAAAACTAGAGGGCATGGGTTTAAGGTGAGAGGGGGAAGATTTAAGAGGGACCTGACGGTCAATGTTTTCATTCAGAGGGTAGTGCATGTATGGAATGAGCTGCCAGAGGAATTGGTGGAAGCTGGTACAATTACAACATTTAAAAGGCATCTGGATGGGTCTACAAATAGGAAGGCTTTAGAGGGATATGGGCCAAATGCTGGCAAATGGGATTGGATTAATTTAGGATATCTGGTCGGCATGGAGGAGTTAGACCAAAGGGCCTGTTTCTGCGCTTTATATCTCTATGACTCTATGAATGAGGGGAGATCTCATAGAAACCTATAAAATTCCAACAGGACTAAACAGGGTAAATGTAGAAAGGATGTTCCCATGACCTGGGAGTCCACAACCAGGGGTCACAGTCTGAGGATATGGGGTCAACCATTTAGGAATGAGATGATTTGGGGGTGGCACGGTTGCTCAGTGGTTAGCACTGCTGCCTCA